AATCCATGAGGGATCAAATCCATGAGGGATTCATGGGGGATTTGTGGGGAATTCATGAGGAATCAAATCCATGAGAAATCCATGGAGAATCCACAGGAAATCCATAGGAAATCAAATCCATGGGGAATCAATGGGAAATCCATGGGGTGTCCATGGGGGATTCATGGAGAATCCACAGGAAATTAGTAGGAAATCCAAGGGGAAATCCCTGGGGAATCCCTGAGGAATTTTTAGGGAATTTTTGGGGAATGAAATCCATGGGAAATTCCACACCCACCTCCTTGAGGCCCTTCAGCTCCGTGGGTGACTCGGCCGTGGGTGCCCAAATTTTCACATCGTGGTCCAGCCCACTGGTGGCCAGCACTGGGAGGTGAGGGTGAGGCTCCAGGCAGTTCACCTGGAAAAAATGGGAATTTTGGGAAAAAAAGGGAATTTTGGGGATTGGGAATGGGAAAAGTAAGGGTGAGGCTCCAGGCAGTTCACCTGGAAAAAATGGGAATTTTGGGAAAAAAAGGGAATTTTGGGATCAGGAATGGGATTGGGAATGGGAGAGGTGAGGGTGCAGCTCCAGGCAGTTCACCTGGAAAAATGGGAATTTTGGGAAAAATGGGTATTTTGGGATCAGGAATAGGATTGGGAATGGGAGAAGTGAAGGTGCAGCTCCAGGCAGTTCACATGGGGAAAATGGGAAAAATGGGAATTTTGGGATTGGGAATGGGAGAAGTTGAGGGTGAGACTCCAGGCAGCTCACCTGGGAAAAAATGGGAATTGTAGGGTCAGAAATGGGATTGGGAATGGGAAAGGTAAGGGAAAAAATGGGAATTTTGGGTATTTGGGAATGGGGGATCTGCCCCTCTGAGCAATTCACCTGGGAAAAAATGGAGAAAATGGGGGGAAAAAAGGGGGAAAAAAGGGAAAAAGGGAAGGGGGCCCTTTCTGCCCATCCCAAATCAGGAGAGCCACGAGTTCCCAGCAGAGGAAATTCGGGATGGGGCCGTTCCCAGCACAGGCACTTCCCTTTCCTGCAGGCCAGGGCAGGAAACACCTGGAAAAATCCCACAGGATCCTCGGGAATGGAACCAATTTGGGATCCTGCCCCTCCCAAAAACCCCCCCAAAAAAACCAAAACGGGGTGAGGCCGCTGCTTTTGGGGTTGAACAGAGGGAGAAAAGGGGATGAAAGGAGGGGATGGGATGGGGGAAAATGGGGAATTTGGGAATTTTGGGGCCTCACCACTCCACCCTTGTCCCCTTCCATGAACTGCACGATCTGGCAGGAGGATTTTTCCCACAGGAAAATGTGGCCGCAGTCGCTGCCGCTCACCACGAACTCGCTCTTGGGGCCGTAGAAATTCACCCCTTTCACTGCAAAAATGGGGG